AATTCTCCACTTCTCAGTGGACACTGGACAGGTGTCTCGCAAATTTAGCTCAGTTCTGAGATCTACTTACTGTCAGAGCCCACGGAGAAACGGTTCAGTCCAAAACACTGGGCCCAGGTTAGATGCCAAGCACAAATCTGTGTTTTCATCTGTGGTTCTAATGGACTGACTACAGATTGGGGGTTCCCATGACCCCCTCCTCAGGTTTAATCTGCTGCAGTTTCTCACAGAACTCAGGCAAAGTTTACTTACTGGTTTCTTTCAACTAGTTAATTACAAGTGTATCACTAAGGATACAGATGAACCACCAAGTAAAGAGATATGTAGGGCAAAGTCCAGAAGGTTCCTGAACACAGGAACTTCTGTTCCTCTGAAGTCTGGAGTGGTCACCCTCTTGGTGTGAGGGTGCATAGTTCTAGTTTACCAATCTGGAAACCATTGAAACATGGGAGTTTGGATGCTCCCATAAATATGATAAATATGATATATTTTTTTTTAATTTATTTAAGGCCTCGCTGGTGGCACAGGGGTTAAGTCTCAGTTCTTATGGGTAGCAGACCTCTCCTGACTTTCCCGCTGCTCCCCTCAGCAGTGTATTTCAGTCAGTCTGCCTATTCTGTCCTCACTCTGTCTCTAGTGAACACACACACACACACACACACACACACACACCCCACTCTGGCCTACGTCCTAGTTCTTTTATGCATAAAGAAAATAAATCTTTAAAAAAAGAATGGGGTTTCTAAATAAAGGGAGAATTGGGGAAAAGGAAGGAGTTTCTAAAGCCACAAATGACCAGCTGTCCTACCCCATGTAGTGTCCAATAGTCCAACTCAAAAGCTGCTCTTGCAACATGGCACTGTTCCTTCTATGAGAGTCTGGAGAGGTGGCACACTGATGAACAGAAGACAAGGATCCAACTCCCAGTGCAGCTGGAGATGATTATAGGTGGTGCTGCTGAGTGGCCCCAAAGCAGCACCTATCCAGAGGCCAGGCCAGGCAGCGTCAGGCGCCAGACTGATACCAGAGGCAACAGCACCAGGAGCTGATGCCTGACATGCCAGAGGCAGGGGAGGTCAAGCAGCGGACCAGGCGATCAGAAGCTGTAGACAGCTCTTAAGAGATGGCTGGACTCAGCTCAGCAGTGCTGGTCACAGTGAAGGCAGAAGCTAGGAATGGCCAGACGTGACTGTATAGGCAGGCAGTTAGGAACAGGGTGCTCCAAGTTTGTCAGCCTGATTGAGAAACAATTGGTTGGAACCAGGAGGGCACCCCCACTCCCCAGCCCGGGTGCCCTAGGTCCATTCATCAGTCTGACTGGAGAGTTAAGAAAGACCAACACAATAATACAATGCTAAAGCTAGTTTCGGAAAGGTAGGCCAGGTAACCTGGGCAACCCAGGGGACCTCAGTAGCCTAGGAAGCCCTGAGGGCCCAACCAATTAGCAGCAGACACAACATGAAAGTGGCCAGATCCACTCCTTGCCCACTGGACCTATTGAAGCACCTGTTTTCACCCCCTCAGTGGCTACCCACTGGGGACCTCTCTCTACTCAGAGCGTTCCTGTCCTTTCCATCCATCAATACATCTGTTGCTTTTCTGTAACTCTGGTCTCCACATTGAATTCTTTGCTTGCCAAAGATAAGAACTTAGAAAGAGCTGCCTGGGGTCCACAGACTCCAGGCCTGCTCCCAAAAACCCCTATTCAACAGGTCAGGAGTCAGAGAGGCTCAGGCATCAGTGTTCCAGCTCTCAGACATACCAGGCACATACCCGCGGCAGACAGCTCTTCCAGAGGAGGTGCCAGGGACCGGGCACCAGTGTACAGCTCTTTCAAGGATGCCAGCCACAGACCAGCAGCACCAGTCACAGGCAATGTGGAAGCAGGGTCGGAGGCAGGAGCAGTGACCAGGCAGTGATTTGGAGTAGAAATCAGGTCTCAGAGGTCTCGGAGGCCTGCAAAGTTCCCAGAAGTCTCAAAGGTCTTTCCAGGAGAGTCTGTCGAGCTGTCTGAATCCCCTGCTTTTATCCCCTTCGGGGAGTCTGCCTTTCGATTCTGATTGGTCTGTTTTCAATATTAGCTCCATTTCTAAGACTTAATTGGCATTGGTGTGAGCTTTAACCTGATTGGTCCATTTACAAAATCAGGTGGGCTTTAAAACTGAAACCCACCTTTCAGTGGGCTGGTGCATCCAACCCCAGCCCATGCTGTGGTCAGGTGTTGGAGTGAGCCCCATAGCAGAGCCAGGGGTAGGTCCCGGTGGCCAGACTGTGGGCTGCTGTGGCATAGCCCAAGCTAATGCCACTGGAGTGGGTATTGCTGCCACCTTTGGAGGAGGTCACCGGGCTGGACCACAGGGTATGTAAAAGCTGTAGGTGGAGCTCATTGTGAGGGTGGAGGGCTGCGTGCCCTGGGGCCCTCTCTTTCTGGCTAGCGCTGGAGCCAGACCAGTTCCACTTTATCTGAATGATGCTGGTCAGGTTCAACCCTGTCTGCTATGTCTCCAAAATCATTGCCCCTTTAAAAAACAAACAGGGCCTCTCCGGTGGCGCAGCGGTTGAGCGTGCACTGTGAAGCTATCCGCAGCCTCTGTAGCACCAGCTCGATTCCCAGCCGGCCAGGGAGAACCCCACATGGTGCGGCAGACCTCTCCTGCCTCACCCGCCGCTCCCCTCAGCAGTATCTTTGGTCCATCTGCCTGTTCTGCTCCCCGTTCTGGCTCTGGTGAATTCTCTCAACCTCCCGCACTTCTGATCTGTACCCCAGTTTTGTATAAAAATAAATAAAATCTTTAAAACAAACAAACAAACAAACTTGGCTGGGGTGTGAAAACTTGGCCCTGCACCAGCTTTGGCTATCTTGCACTGGGGGCAGAACAGAACTAGGGGGAGAGAGGTTAGGAAAGTGGAGAAAACCACTTGGCTGTACCCCTGAACCAGGAGCTGAGGGGGTTCTTCTTGCAGATTCATGTCCTCTGAACCAGTCTGAATATTCTAAAAGAAATGTGCCATAAAATAAATAAAGCAATCTCCACTCACAGGGTTATTCACTAATGTTTAGGCTAAATTAAGCTACTACTGTAACAGGACCCCTGGAACCTGCCCCTGTTTTGTTACCTTCCTGTTGTTGAAAACCACAAAACTCCCACCAGCCAATACCTTGCTTCCCTGCTACCACTCCCTGGTCATCAACCCCATAAAACCACCAACCCCTTGCTGTTCTGAAGCCCAGGGCTATTTCACCCCTCTCCGACTTACTGTGTGACCCACACACATATTCCTCACTTGAAATTGGTTATTAGCTCTTGCAAAATTTGTCAGGGATTCATTGGTGGAAGCCAGACAAACACACTTCAGTGTCAGCAGCAGTATCAGACATTGACTGATGGACGACAGCTGCTTGTGGCTCCTTCGGTGATATTCGCAGAGGCTGCAGCTGGCTTCCTGCAGATTTTCCAACAAGACCACTTGTAAGACTCACTAAGCACTTCCACTGACTGAGCTGAAATTCACCAATATCCTCAGAGCGCTGCTTCCCGAAGTAAAGTGAGGTCCGGCAGCAGGAAGGTCCATGATCAGCACCTACTACAGGGGGTTCAGTGCACATGAGTTTCCTAACCTGATTTCACTCAGAGGGGTTCTGTGTGAGAACAGACTTTGGGAAGCGAGGTGGGAGCAGGAAGACTGGGGTAGGAAGGCCCCTGCGTTGTCCAGGAGGAACGACTCTCCGGGGCAGGTGGTAGGTAGATTCTGGAAATACTGTGCTGGTAGGACTCTGCTCTGGCATCAGCTTACCTGAGAGACAGACACAGTGGACACCTCCAACATGTGGAACAGAGGACGTGGACCAGGGGGTTGTCCTACACTTCTTTTCCATCTCAGTGCCAGGAGGAAGATCAAGGACTTCAATTTTTTTTTAAGATTTATTTATTTATACAAGAGCTTGGGGTACAGGCCAGAGGTGTGGGGGGTGAAGATTCGCCAGAGAGAGCGGGGAACAGAACAGGCAGACAGACCGAAATACACTGCTGAGGGGAGCAGCGGGTGAGACAGGAGAGGTCGGCTGTGCCATGTGGGACCCTCGCTGGCCCGCTGGGGAATCGAACCAGCGCTGCTGAGGGTGCGGACAGCTCCACAGCGCTGCGTTCTACCAGCCGCGCCACCGGGGAGGCCAAAGGACGTTTTTGAAATATTTAGTTTGGGGTGTTCAAATGGAAATGTTGAGATTTGGAGTTCCGTGCTCTATATTTAAGCCAGAGATGAAGAATTTGGAGTTGTCAGTGTTTCAAAGGAATTCAGTCTATAGCTGCACCAATCACGAGGGGCGGGGGCGAGTGATGGGTGTTGCTTTTTTGCATAGAGAAGCGGGCCCAGAACCACTCCTTGGTCAGGGAGGTGGAGAGCAAACCGTGGAAGCGTGGAACGAGGTGAGTGTGGCATCCACACATCCAAACCAGCCGAGAGTTCCCGGGAGAGTCAAATGTTGGTGACTGATGAGTGCAGCAGGCCTGGGGTCTAGCATCGCGGAGGACACAGTGGTCATTACTAGCAGTTGTTTCACAGTGGCAGGAAGAAGGGAGAGAGCAGACAACAGTCAGCATTTGAGGAAGCAAAGGAATGGGGTGGAGCCGTGCCTGGCACAGGAAGCAGGCGACAGATGCAGAGCAAGAAAAGGGTTCCCGGGGCCTCCCCGGTGGTGCAGCGGTTGAGCGCTGGGTTGCGAAGCTGCCCACAGCCTCTGCAGCGCCGGTTCGATCCCCGGCTGCTCCCCGGCCACCAGAGGAGGGTCCCACATGGCACGCAGACCTCTCCTGCCGCCCGCTGCTCCCCTCAGCAGTGTGCTTCGGTCCTTCTGCCTGCTCTGCTCCCTGCTCTGGCTCCGGTGAATTTTCTCACCCTCCCGTGCTTCTGACTGTACCCAGTGCATGTATAAACAAAACAAACAAACAAACAAATAAATAAATAAAAATAAAAACAGAAAAAAAAAAAAAAAGAAAAGGGTTCCCGGCAAACGGCTGTTTGGGCGGTTGGGAGGACAGTGAAGTACAGTCAGGGGCGAGAAGGCGGGCAGCTGGTCAAGGCTGTGGTCAGGACAGCTCTCATTGTGGTCACTGAAGTTCAATCTTCCAAAGAAAGCTCTGTGAGCTGACGGAAAATATACCCTGAGGGCAGTGGCTGTTCTTATATCACCCTCTCACTCCTGGAGGAAGGGGAGATAGTTCATCCCAAATCTCTTCTGGTGGATGAAGGATGTAGCCAGGGGGAGGCAGCAGGAAGGCAGACTTCACTCAAGAGTAGGGTAGGACAGTGCTGACACCGGGAGCTGCCAGCACGAGGCACAGGAGGAACTGGAGAATGGCACGTCAGCACAAATGCTGGGGAGAGGAGGGTGGCAGGGACAGCAAGATAAATGCTGTGCTGGCCAAGCACAGCTTGGGGTCTAGGGGACAGGGCCCCCAGGCCTTTTGTGCGCTCTCAATTTTCTTGTGCTTTTTTCAAAGATGCTTTAGGCAAACCCAAGGAAAAACACATTTATATATGTTCACACAAATTATTTTTAACATAACCACTATTTATGTTTTTCATTCTTCAATCTGGAGATTTGGCCACACCAGGGCATAGGTGTCTTCATTCCTTCTTCCCCTGCCCTTTTTTTTTTTTTAAAGATTATTTATGCATACAAGAGCCGGGGTAGGTCAGAGGTGTGGGGGTTGAGGGGATTCACCAGAGACAGAGTGGGGAACAGAACAGGCAGACTGATGAAATACACTGCTCAGGGGAGCAGTGGGCGAGTCAGGAGCGGTCTGTTGCACCGTGTGGGTAGCTGCCTGGCTGGGGATCAAACCCTCACTGCAGAGGCCTCGGACAGCCCCATAGGTTGTGTCTAAACCCCTTGTGCCTCCAGGGAGGCCCACTGCTGCCCTTTTTAACCGCTGCATAATATTCCATCACAGAATTTATTTACCCCCACCACGAACATGTGAAGTGTTTCCAGTCTTCTGCTACTTCAGACAGTGCTACAGCGAATAACCCAGTGTAATAGTCATTTGGGAGTTTCCATGCAAGAGAAATGCCTAGAAATGAAATTTCTGACAGAGTATGTGCATTTTAAATTTTAATAGATATGATAAAATGCTTTTCACATAGGTTGTATGAATATATATGCCCACTAGCCATATATGAGAAAATGTTTCCTCACATCTTAGTCAACATATTGTGTTACTTTTGATTTTTGCTATTCTAAGTGAAAATGATATCTCAATGTAATCCTAACTTTTTTATCTTTTTATGTATAAGGTAGGACTTCTTTGCATATTTTTACAGTTTTTGGCCTTTCCTTTTTGACTAATAAGAACTTTTTACATCTCAGAAAATTAATGTTTTGTTGCATCTCAGTTGTGTTTTTCAAGTTTGTCATTAATTTTCTGACTATGCCTATAACGATTTTTGTGAGAGTGAGATATTCTGTGCATTAAAATTTCCCTGTATTTCTCTTGGGCTTCTGATTTGTTATTCCATAGTAGCAAGGGCTGTGCTGTCCAAGATTATAAAGAGACTTTCCCATAATTTTTTCTGTCTACGGTTTAACACATTACATCTAAATCTGTCGCATTTATCCTGCTATAAAAGGTATGTGTACTTCAAATCTTTTCCCCCCTAAACGACTACTTAATTACCTCAATAACCTATGTTAAATAAACCATTTTCTGCCCACTGATTTAAAACACTAGACTGGATAGAATCCTAGGCTTTCAGTAGGAAAATGTGTAATCAATTTTATTTTCACTTATTTATGTCTTAGGTAGTTTTTTATATTATCATTCCAAGCATATTGTTTTATTCTGGGGGGTGACCCCTGAAAACTGAGATTTCTTACTTTCCATGTATGTGATGAAAATCTAGATTCACTCTTGTGCAGAATCCTATGATAAAGGTAACTTCATTGCCTTATTTTATAGATGAGAAAATTGGACCAGAGAGAAGTTAAGAACCTTGCCCAGAAGACTCACTCTGTCATTCCTCGTCTCTTGCCCAGTTCTGCACAACTAGTAAGTGACTGAGTCCAAGTTAACTACTACTCCACACACAGGTATAGTTTTTTTTTTAAAAAAAAAAATCTATTTATTTATGCATACAAGAACTGGGGTGCAGACCAGAGGCACAAGGTGGGGTTGATGAGAGGATTCACCAGAGACAGAGTGGGGAGCAGAACAGGCAGATAGACCGAAATACACTGCTGAGGGGAGAAGTGGGCGAGATAGGTCTGCTGCATTATGTGGGTTGCTCCTGGGCGGCAGGGGATCGAACTCATGCTCAGTGGCTGGTGACAGCTTGATAGCTCTGTCTTTAACCACTGCGCCACCAGCGAGGCCCCAGGTCTACTTAGTTTAAAGAAACATTAGCTGATGCTTGCGGACACTGTGTTTATGAGTGTAAAGTGGGGATAGCAAGGTCACCTCCATTGTGGGGTTGCTCTGATGGCTAACACCTCAGTCCATGTGTACATATGCACCAGGGGAAGCCAGCTTTCTCTTCATTTCCTAACTTAGAGCCTCTTTCATGCGAAGCCATGTATTTCTTCACCACTGAGCAGTGAGACCTAGTTCTGGCTTTAAATCTCAAATTAACAGCAGACTTTTCAGAGGCTCCCTTTCATCTGTAAAACGAATGCAATGACAGGGTCTACCTACATATATCATTCTACAGATCAAATGAATTAAATATACAAAAAGCCAACACGGTATGCACCCACATTCTCCACCTCACCAGCCCATGATCCCTTTTGCTGGCACCTCCCCTTCAGCTGTCACCAGGACTGCTCTCTTCCGTTCCAGCCCTGCTCCTTATTTTATCTGGAAGGCGAAGCTAAGGATTGCAAAAGGCTTAGTCCCAAACCTACTCCCTCAAATATCTCACCTGTCTGTCCACTGCCCTCCCACAGTCATGGCTTCTAGTAGGAAACTGGGCTAAGTGGGTAGCAGCCCAGGCAGACCTCAGATCAGTGCTCACTCGCGGGCTTTGCCCTCCCTGCTCAGGAAGGGGCCCTCTCTTCCTCCATCACCCCACACTTCTCTCCTTTGGTCTCTGGAGTCAAATGAACTTAATGTTTCTGGCTTTGAACTTGATTAACACAGTAAGTGATCGCCCTCTACAACCCTCCTGCCTCTTTCCATCAAGGTGGGCTCCAGCTTTTCATCTCAGAGTTTGAGATGGTGCTGGCTTCCTGTTCCCAGTTAAGCTGGGGAGTGCCCGAGTTTCTGTGCCATTCTTGATCGCTTGCTGCTGGAGAGGCTTCTTGTGCACCTTACAGCGCTGGACAGATGACGTCCTGGAAGGCAAGCCGCATCATCCTTTACCAACACTCACGGGGCAAATGATTTGTCTTGGGACCTCTGTTGAATTCAGAGCTGATTATGGGCTAACATTTATTGTGCACAGGGTAGGTCCTGAACCATCTTCATACTCTCTTCCACTGAATTTTCACAGTAATTATACTGGGAGACGTGGACATGGCTGGGCAAGGAGAGGTGGAAGCCTTGGTGGTCCATGTTCACCACACAAACAGTTTTCCAACAGCCTAGAGAGGGCACTGCGTTGGGGGGAGTCTGCCTGGATGAACCTGACATTGTCAGATAAACATCACTGGGAAGACCACATTGGGAGGGAACACAGAGTGGGATCAGGAGTGTAAATTTACTCAATTTTTTTGACCACCTGGGGTGCAGTCCAGTTTGAAGCGCTATTGGATAGGGAAACTATTTTCTGACTATGTAGTCCCTCTGTCTGGGGGTCTGCATGCCTGTGCAGCCAGGGCCTCTGTGAGGGTCTTATCAAACGTGGAGTCAGTCTATCTAGAGTTCATTTTCTCAGCTGAGTCTATTTGGAGGTTCATCTGTCTGTCTGGCTAGAGGCCCATCTGTCTGAGGATGGAGGTCTGTCTCATTGGCTGCTGACTTGTCTGCCAAGCTTTGTGCATCTACTGTCTAGCTCAAGGGCTGGGGGTCTGCCTTGCCAGGGCACTGTGTGAACAGCAAGGGGCCAGTCTGGTTGGAGATGTGTCTAAATAGGGTCTGACTTGTTTATTCACCTGTTCAGATGGGGTTCATGTGGTGTGGGAGCTGTGTACCCAGCTCGGGATCTAGCTAGCCAGTTGGCTTAAGGTCCAGCTATCTCACTATCTGACTGGTTCATCCACTGAGGTCTGTCTCAAGCATCTGCTGATCTGCCATGGACACCCAATTGGGAGATGGTCTGGATAGGGGGGTATCTGTCTGGTTTATGATGGTTATTTGCCTGTCTGGCCAGTTGACTGCCTGGAGGTCTACCTATCTGCCTCTCTGGGAGCCTGGCTGGCTGGTTGGGGAGTATGTACAGTTAAGGTTCTGGGAGTCCAGCTGTCTAGTCGGGAGTCTGACTAAAAGGTCAGTCTGTATGCATTTGGCGGTGGGTCTAAGAGAATATGTGTCTCCATTCAGTTGGGTGTTTTTATCTGTCTGAAATTTCTCCAGCTAGGGGTTCATCTGGCTGGTAGCTGTCTGGCTGCCCAGTTGGGGAAGGGTGCTGATCTTTTTGATGGTCTCTTGTTGAAGATGACGTATCAGGCTGCTGTTCAGCCTATCTTTGTGGACTGTCCCACTGACGGTCTGGCCATCTACAGGTTATGGCTATCTGCCTGTCCAGACAGGGGTCTGTCTGCCCATCTGGGGATCTTACTACCTGTCAGAAATCAGTCTGCTTAGCTGTCACGCCTGCCTTGGGTCTGTCTGAATGGGGGTTTGGGGGGTGGGGGGAAATCAGTTTTTATCCAGATGCATCCATCTTGCTGCGTTGTGTACTAAGTGTTTCAGTCAGTGAAGCTCAGAAAACAAAATGAACTAGTCCATTATGTGTGTTGGGGGAGGGGATCACACTGTCCAGCAGTCCTCCTGTCTGGCCTCCCCTTCACAACTAAGGGTGTCACTCAGTCCCTTGGGACTGGTCTCCTTCCTGATGGTCATTCTCGCCTCTGCAGCGGTGCAGCCTCAGCAGCCTTCGCGCCCTCCCCGAGCCTCAAGCCCTGAATGCTATAATCACGGGGGTAGAATTCCCACATTTCCCACCCTGCAAATCTTTTATTTTGATGCAGGCGTGGTGGTCCCAGTCCCAACAGTTCACAGTAGCACATGGCCGTCAGCTCCAAGGCAGGCCTCCCGGGTGAACACATGGCCGGCCGGCACTCACACCCGGCTCCACTCGGCGGGGGGGTCCCGCGGGCCCTTCGGTTTTCCAATGCGCAGATTGAAGCCTGCGAGAGGAGGGTCACATGGGCCTCACGCCAAGAGGGGGTGTGGGGGGCAGCCGATAGCGGTCGGCCCTCCGGGTTCACCGCAGCCACACGCAGAGGGCTCGGCCACACCCCCAAGCCCCCAGCTCGGGCTTCCCTCAAAGCCAGGCCCAGACTCGGGGGTCACTTACCGAGCCCGCCGCTGGGCGCCCCGTTCGCCACATCCTCGTAGGCACTCGCTGCAGCCGGGGTTCGCTCCGCGGGAACTGCAGGCGGGAGAGGCCCCCATCAGCTCGGGGACCCGCCGCCACCCCGGGGGATGCGCCGGCGGGAGGGGCGGCCCCGGAGGGGACCCCAGCGCGCCGGGCCGGGGCACTTCCGCGCGGAAGCCCCAGCTGCGCCCCGCGGCGGGCGTGGCCGGGGTCTGGCCAGCTCGGGGGTGACCGGCCGGGCCGAGGCGGGGGTCCCCTTCCGGCGCTGACCCGGCTGGTAAGCGCCCCCCGCCCCCTTCCCCACTCCCCCTTCCCCCCTCCCCCTTCCCCCCTCCCCCGCGCGCCCCAACGCACCGCGGCTGGGCGGCGCCCCCGACTCGTCCCCCGCGCGCGCCGGCGCTCGCAGCGCGCGCGGGGTGACCTGGCTGTAGAGCGCCTCCCCCCGGCCCGCGCCGCCGCCGCCGGGGCCCCGCGCTTCTGCACCGACGCGTAGGTGTCGTCCATGGCGGGGGCCTGCGCGGGCGCTGGGAGGCTCCTGCGGGCGGGAGGAAGTGAGGCCGCGGGCGGGGGCGGGGGCGGGGGCGGGGGGCGGGGAGCACCCGCCGCTTCCTCCCTCCGCCCCGCGGGCTGGGGGGGGGTGCGAGGGCGGGGGGCGCCGGCGTCGGGGTTCCCGAGACTGGCGCCCGGCGGGCTGGGGGCAGGCGCGGGGGACGGCTGGGGGCGCTGGGCGCTGCTTCGGGTACGCGTGTGGGCTGAGACAGGAGGCAGTGGCTTCTGGAGAGAGGAGGAGGGGGGCCGCCCTGGATGCGCCAGCTTTAGATGCAACCGGTGAGGCTGTCCACAGCCTCTGCAGCACGAGTTCGAGCCCCAGGCTGGCCAGGGAGCTACCCACATGGCGCGGCAGACCTCTCCTGTCTCACCCGCTGCACCCCTCAGCAGTGGATTTCAGTAGATCTGCCTGTTCTGCTCGCTGCTCTTGTCTCTGGTGAATCCTCAATCTCTCTCTCTTTCTCTCTCTCTCTCACACTCACGCACCTCTGGCCTGTCCCCCAGCTCTTGTATGCATAAATAAATAAATCTTTAAAAAAAAATAGAGGAGAAGGCCTCAGGACTAGGGCTGAAACCTGCTGCAAAGGCTGAGTCCACTCTGCAGCTCCTGACTCGAGGCCTGCTAAAGTGAGGGCTGAGTTAAGGTCTGGGAGAGCAGCAAAGGGGCCAACGTAGAAGGCAGGCCTGGCCCTGGAGCTAGAGGGCAGGGCATCCCCTAGATGAGCATGTCCCCCCTAGCCTTCCCAGAGCCCAACTCATAGTAAGCGAACACTTGGTGCCTGGTGTTTCCAGGGTGAGCAGGAAGGAAGGACGGGCTGCAGCTAGTACCTGAGCACCCCGCCGATTGGGCGAGGGTTGGCAAGAAGGTCCGGAGGAGGCCGCGGGGAACCGGCCTCATATAGTGGAGCACGATTCTGGGGAAAGACAGGAGGTGGGTGGGCACTGGGCTCAGCAGGGAAGAGCAGGAGGAGACAGCCTGAGAAGGGGGTAACGGAGGAGGACAAGGTGGCAATCACTGGGCCGGTCCCTGCTTCCAGTAGGCCTGGAGGAGTCTGTGATGGTGACTACAGACCTCTGCTCGGGGGCCGCATCTCTGAGGGTGTTGATGGTGGACGAGAGTGGGAAGGGATCTTGATACCTCCTTGAGGTTCTGGTTGTGGGGGGTGGCATTTTGGAGCGCTGAGAGGAACATCTGAGACACTGTGTGGTGCAGGAACCTGTACTGCTCCTGGTAAGGGAAGAGCATTGTCAAGAAGGGACTGGAGGAGGAGGGCCAGGTTCAGAGCAGCAGGGGATTGAGGCTCCCACCTCTGTCTGCACGAAGGAGGGCCGCTGTGTCCGCATGTTGAGGACCACATCAAAGAGGCTGAAATTAGGTGGGATTGTCTGGGCAGAGAGACAGGGCATGTGAGCAGAACTCAAGCGCAGGGACCCTGCACTGCCCTTGTGCACAGGTAGGCCCTCATCATACCTGGGTCAGGAGCAGCTGCCTCACATAATCCACAGTGCACAGGACACCTGTTCGACCACAGCCTGCGCTGATAAATGAGCAAAGCCAGCTCTGTCATGATCCCTTTTGGATGGGGCATTGGAGTTGAGGGTTGAGTCCCAGAACTCCCGGATTATAATTTAAAAGGAAACCCTTCTTAACTGCTTATATATTTGTGATCAACTATGTGCTTTCTCCCCAGCAGGCAGTCTGCATGCAATAAAGGCTAATAATTTCAGTAGATACAGCGTGAGCAAGTGTGGCCTCGGGGTTTCTTGAAACAGACACTCAAGCTGCAAGACTTGCTCCAAGCCCTCACTGTTCTTCCTGTCTCTTGCCCATAGGCATTTCTCCCCCCACCCACTGTCAACCTCTCCCCCAATCCACACCAGACCCAGATAAACCCATTTCCTAAACCTGCAGTGGACACAGAGGGGAGGGCAGGGGCCAGATCCTTGGAGGCGATGTGCCTCCTCCACCATGGTGAGCACATGCTCAGGGTGGCTGGGCACCCCTCTGTCTGGCCAGGACATATACTGCAGCTGATACACACGTCGGGATTCCTGAAACACAGAAGAGGGGGCAGCGAATATAAAAAGAAAAAAAGAACAACACTTACTATCGACTACATGTCAGACTCAGTTTTAACTCCAACAGATAACAACAGGAGACATGCCAGTTTACTGGTGAGAAAACAGACAGCAAACACTTCTTCCCCTGTGGGAGCCTCCTCGTCCCCTTTTGATACCTTCTGGAAGGTGACTTGGAGAGTCCTGAGAATAATGTCCGCATTCACCCACTTCTCCTTTTTCTGAAGATGCGGGGCAAGTGGAAGAAAAGGGAGAACAAAGATCACAAAGCCAAAAGACACATTCACAGAAAATAAAGCACTTTTGCTAAAAAAAAAAAATTCAGTTAGCCCAGTCATTCCTCATGCTTTTCATCAGGTACACGTTTGACAAAGGGGAGAAACAAACTATTCTTAACCCCATTCTTAATTCTTTAACTGTTAAGAAACATACATGACTATTCTTAAGCCCAAACAAGCTCATTTACAGTGACTAAATGATTTATTTTGTTCTAAAACAGAACAGTTTTGTTGTATTTACTGTATGTATGACTTGAGGTCAGAGGTTTTCCTGGGTTCATTGGAAATGGTAAGAGAATAAGGACTCTAAGAACCTCACCAGGCATACTTACATTAGAGATAACCATGGTGATAATTAAAATCCAAAAAGCAGTGCATATATTGAGTTGGAACTGTTTGCGTGCTGTTACCAGAATTCCCTCAGTGTGAGAGAGCTGCCAGAAAACCGTTCTTCCTTTGAGGCCTAGCCCAAAAACTTGCTGCTCTGAGAATCTTCCATGAAACCTCCCACAACATCCAAGACTCCATAAAACGCTGTTCCCACCTCTGCCCCAGCTCACCAGGGTGATGTAGAAGAGCCCGATCTGTAGGGGTTTTTGCTCTTGGGCCCAGTAACGCTCACACTTTTTCTGCAAGAGGCAAGAGACAAAGGGCAGGAGTGAAGTGATTCTGCTTTTTTAGAGTTCCAGCTCAATCCACACACACATCTAACAGAACAGCCCAGGCACTGATGCAGGCAGCATAGGCAGCTGTGGGTATGATGGAGGCTAGCTGCAGAGCCGTGGCAGATGATACACAAGCTAAACATAGACTTGAGTTTCTGACTGTGTAGAGGAAACCAGTCTAGAATATTCTCCCACTGTAAGCAACTAAAAAATTGCTCAAGATATATGAGCCACTATTTTCATACACTGGGCCACAAGCATTGCAGGATTGAGATCACTACATAAAGGGAAACACATCAAACCCTGTGTTCTCCTGCTCACTGCTTAGAGCCTCACCAGTAGCAAGACATGGAGAGTCCAATGACCCCACTGAGTGAAAACCCAGAGATCATGGCTCAGGGCAGCCAAAGCAGCTGAATTTGAAAGGCAGAGCCTAAAAAGAACAAAATTATGCAAAGAAAGCAAAAACTCCAAGAAGTCTGCATGAGTGTCTCATTGAGACTTTAACTGAATAATAATCTGAGCACATGGAACATAAGGCTAGGCAAAAGTAACATCCTATGAAAGAAAAAGGAGTGTAAGAAACATTTCTTAGAGCTCACAATGGGGCAGAAATAATCCACATTTCCTCCATCCAGAGTGGTAAGACCAGACTGATTTTTAAGGGCCATTCACTAGAAGGACCACACATGAGAGAGAGTGAAATTACTTCTAGACTTAGAGTCTTCAGTAAAACTGCCCCTATGAAATCTTACAAATAAAATTTAAAGTGATCAAATGTCCAAAAGCAACTGTCATGCAGAAAAATTTAAATGCATTCCTGTGTAAAATTCAAAATACCAAGCATCAAGAAATCATAAAAATTTACTAGGTGTAAAAACAAGCAAGAAAATATGACACATAACCAGGAGAAAAATCGTTCAATACAAAAAAAGCTGATCGAGATGAGGAAAGAAAACAAAGCTCTTAAAATGGTTTTTTTAATATACTCAAAGATGCAAAAGAAAGCATGAACATGATGAAAAGTAAAAGATATGAAAAAATACCTAACTGAAACTTCTAGAGAGGAAAAAAGAAAATATATTAAATGAAAAATTCACAATCTAACAGACAACAGAAGATCAGTGAATACAAAGACACAGCAATAGAAACTATTCAAAATGAAAAAAGAGAAAATGATTGGGAAAAAGATGAACAGAGAATCAATTATCTGTGGAAATATAGTCACCAACCTGGATTCCAGAGGAGAGGAACAATAGGGGAGAACAGAAATGTTATTTGAAGAAACGGTAGCTGGAAAATTTTCCAAATTTAATGGATCTATGAACCACAGTAAGAAGAAACAGAGTCATGCAAGTCATATCATAATCAAATTGCTGGAAAACAATGATGAAGAGAAAATCTTAAGAGCATCATGCAGGAGAAGCCACAGGTACATACTGAGAAGCAGATATAATGATAGCAGAATTTTGCCTGAAACTCTACAAAGTCAGTGATGTGACATCCTAAAAATGCTGAAATTTTAAATAAACAGCTTTTAAACAAAAGCTCAGAAAATGTATCACCAACAAACTTGTATTGTGAAAAATATCAAAATAAGTGACAAAAGGAACACGATACTAGTAGAGTATAGATCTATAAAAAGAAATAAGAGTAAAGGAAAAGTACATGAGTGGCTAAATGTAAAAGGTATATTTCCTTTTTAACATCTTGAAAAGATAATCTAGTGAATTTTACCAACATAGGATGAACTGATACCAATCTTTCACAAACTTTTCCCAAAAAACTGAAGGCAGAACATTTCCCAGCGTATAGTACAAAGTGAGTATTACTTTGAACCAAAAGCAGACATAGACATCACTAGAAAATAAAGCTACTAACTACCGTTTCATGAATATAGACAGCAGTCTAACAGACAGCAGAAGATCAGTGAAATCCTCGACAAAATACTGACAACAGATGATATACATCATGACCAGCTGGCATTAACTCCAAAATGCAAGGATGACTCAATATGTGAACCAATAATGGCATAAACCATATTAATAGAAAATAAAACAAAAACATGCAATCATCTGAATAGATGCAATTTTTTTGGGATAAAATTCAACACCATTTCATTATAAAAAATGCAAAAAAAACTAAAAATGGAAAGTAAATGCCTCATAGAAAACCCCACATTAAAAAAAAAAAAGTCAGCTAATCTCATACTTAATGATGAAAGACTTAACTGTTTTGCCTTTAAGATCAGGAACAAGACAAGGGTATTTCTACTTGCTACTTCTGTTCAATTTTGCACTGGAAGTTCTAGTCAGTGAAATTAGGAAAAAATAAATGAAGGAAAGAAGGGAGGAAGGACAAAAAGAAAGGAAGATAGCAAAGAGGAAGGAGGGAGGCAGAGAGGGAGGAAGAGAGAAGAAAACTATCTCAATTTGAGATGACATGATGTTATATACAGAAAACCCTAAAGAATACACACAAAACGCACACACACACAAACTTAGAATTACAGCTAACAAACAAGTTCAGCAAAGTTGCAGGATAAAAGATCAATGCAGAGAAACCAACTGTATTTCTATATAGTGAAAACCATCCTGTTGCAATAAGTAAACTGAAAATGAAATAAAGATGATCACTCCATTTACAAGAGCATCAGAAAATATGAGCTACTCAGGAATAAATTTAACAAAAAGTGCAAGACTACAGAACATTGCTGAAAGAAATGCAGACGTCGATAAATGGAAATTGGCAGACGTCGGTATCTTTCCATTTATTTTGTGTACAGAAGAAAATATTGGCAGAAAGAACCCCCAAAGTGGTAAATACAGTATAATACAATTGGTATTAAATCCAACAAGGCTTTGTGAAGCTATTGGCAAGCTGATCTTAACAGTGATGGAAACACAAGGTGACCTGGACCCCCAAGAGTACCCTCAGGTTTGGTGATTTGCTTGGAAGACTCACAGAACTTGCACAGAGCTGTACCTGCAGTGAAATGATACAGACTATCAACGAGCAAAGGGAAAGGTGCATAGAACAAAGTCTAGAGGAAACAAGGTGCCAGAATCCAAAGGTTGTCTCCCAGTGGAGTTGTGCAGGATATGCTTAATACCTCCACCAATGAGTTGTGATGACACGTGTGGAATGTCCCGGGGTCTTTATTGGGGCACTCTATGTGGTATGTCAGCACCCTCTGAACCAAAACTTTAGAATCCCAGAAGGAGAGCAGATATTCATTGTAAAATCACATTGTTTGCATAGATGGTTGAGGCATAGTGAGTCATTCTTACTAGAAATCCAAGTTTCAGCCAAGAGTCAACCTTGCAAGGCCTTTTTAAGCAGAAGCAATTATACCTATTGTGTTAATTATTTTCTACACAGTAAGTGACCAAAATAGCTAAAACAATCTTGAAAAAAGAACAACTATGGAGAAGACTCATATTTCCCAATTCAAAAATGACTACAAAGCTACAATCACTAAAGTCATGTAGTACTGGCATGAAGATAGATATACAAATAAACTAAAAAGAATTGAAAGCCCTAAAAGAAAACTCTTACAAATGTAATGGTCAATTGATTTTCAACAGTATAGCAGGACCACAATCTTTTCAAGAAATGGTACTGGGGCAAGGGGATAGCCACATGCAAAAGAGTGAATCCAGACCCCAACCTCAGATTACATAAAAAAACTAACTCAAAATGGATCATGCTCAGCGAAATAAGCCAGAAAGAAAAAGAAAAATACCGGATGGTCTCACTCATGGCAGGAATCTAGAAAACTTAAATAAGAGACCAGGAAAAAGAATAACTATAAGAAAGTAAAAATCAAAATCAACAAACAGCTATGAACCAGAGACACTCTATGGGGGGTGGGGGGGCGGGGAAAGGAGGGATTGGGGTCAAAATAAGGGGGTTGCAATTGTATGGGGAATATAAAAATAAAATTTAAATTAAAAAAAATTCTACTTTAAATAGAATGTAAAACATTCTAATTTAAATACAAAGTGTTCATTATGTAAAAAAAAAAGAATGTATTAAATAGAGAGAATTGGCACATTTGCAATATGGAGTCTTCCAATTAAAAATATGGCTTTTATTGATTATCTCTTCTTTAGCATCTCTCAATATTTTATAATTTTCTCGATGGAGGTTGTGTACATCTTTTTTAGATATATATTTTGGTAGTTAATATATTTTATGTTATATTAAAATCTATCTTTAAACTTTAAAAAAAAATGGATCAGACAAAGATGTAAGCGAGAAAACTATAAAACACTTAGAAGAAAACACACGAGTAAATCTTCATGACTTTTAACCAAAAGTGACTTCTTAGATACACCAAAAGCACAAGCAAAACAACAGGTAATCTAGAATTCACAAAATTAAAAAGTGGTTATGCTTCAAAGAACATTATCAAGAAAATTGGAAAGACTGTGTACAAAATGGGAAAAATATTGATCAATCATATCGGAAAGGGACTTTTTCCCAGAACTCTTACAACTCAATTATAAAGAGATAAACAATGCAACTAAAATACATGGGCAAAGGATGTGAATAGACATTTGTCCAAAGAAGATAAGCACATGAAAAGATGTTCATTTCATTAGGCAAATGCAAACCAAAACCACGACCAGATACCACTTCTCACCATTAGGATACCTAATAAAACCCCAGAGAAAAACAAGTGTTGGTGAGTGTACCGAGAAAGAGGAACCTTTGTGCATCACTGGTCAGAGTGTAAAATGGTGCACTCTCTGTGGACAACAAAAAAACCTAAACTTAGAATCACCAGATGAATCAACAATTCTGCTTCTGGGTCTACACCAAAATGATTGAAAACAGGGGCTTAAAACAGATGTTTATATTTCAGTATTCATAGCACCATTATTCACAACAGCCAAAGGGTAGAAACAACCCAAATATCTGCCAAAAGATGAATGGAGAAACAAAATGTTGTCTATACATGTGAAACATAATGAATTATATTGCAATATTATTCAACAAAATATTATTTGTCCTTAAAAAGAGTGAAATTCTGATACATGCATATATATATGTGTGTGTGTATACACACACACACACACACACACACACACACCTTGAAAACATTTTGAGTGAAATAAACCAGACACAAAAGGACAAATATTGTATGATTCCACCTATATGAGGTACTTAGAATAGGCAAAGTAATTGAGACCAAAAGCATAATGAAGACTACCAGAAGCTGGGCAAGGAGGAATCAGGAGTAATTGTTACATGGGTAGAGCGTTTCTGTTTGGGATGATGAACAAGTTCTGGAAATGGTGATGATGGCTGTATAACATTGTCAGTATACTTAAAACCTCTGAATGCTACATTTGAAATGGTAGTTTTTATGTTAGGTATAGCTTACTGCACTTGAGAAACACCGCTTGCTTGTATTATAGCCAACCTACTGTTGGCTATAATAAAACGCAAGTAATAACAAGCACTGGTGAAGGTGTGAAGAAACTGGAACCCTTATACATTTCTGGTTAGAACCTAAAATGATGTAGCCATTGTGGAAAACAGTTTGGCAATTTCTGACAATGTTAAAAATGAAGTTATTATGTGACCCCACAATTCTACTTCTAGATATATACCCAAGAGATATAGAAACATACACAATTCTTGTGTATGAACATGACTGTTCATAGTAATGTTATTTGTAATATCCCAAAACTGAAAATAGCTTAAGCCTTACAAACTTATTAATAAATTAAATAAATGAACAAATAAATTAAATAGAATATTATTCATGAGGAAAAAGGAGTGAAGTGCTGATACTGATATATGCTACAATGTTTATAAACATAATAAAAACATTATTGTAAGTGAAAGAAGACAGTCAAGAAAGACAATATATGATTCCACCTATATTAAAAGTTCAAAACAGGCAAATCTAGAGATTAAAAGCAGTTTACGGATTGCATAGGGTAGAGGTTGATGGCAAATAGGAAATGAGTGCTAATAGAACATGGTTTCTTTATGGGGTGATAAAAATAAAATTTATTGTGGTTATGGTTGTATAACCTAGGAATGTACTAAAAACAACCAAATTGCACAATTAAGCAGATGAACTGCATCTCAATAAAACTGGTTTTTTCTTAAATTATAATCTAAAGCAAAAATAATAGTGTATTATGGTATATATTTCATATTTAGAATTAAAACACATGGTAATAATAACATAAGTCATTGAAAGAGAAGATTGAAAAGTCCTCATCATTTTACATGAAATGGCATAAAATTATTTGAATGCAGCTTGTGTCAATTAAAGATTATATATTGTGGACCCCCACTAAAGCACATAACACAAAGAGGTATGTCTAATAAGTGAATAATGGCTATGAAATTGATTCATAAATTCTTAACCTGAAAGAAGACAGAAAAGAAGAAGAAAGGGGAAAAAACTGATGGAACAAATAGAAAACAACCTGCAAGATGGTGGATTTAGAGCCAACATTATTGATGATCACATTAAAGGCTAAATGTTCCAATTAAAGGCAGGAATTGTCAGAGGAGATAAAAAAGTAAGTCCCCATGAGATTGTAGCTATAGGAAGCTCACTTTAAAAATAAAGATGAATATGGATAAAAAGCAAAAGAATGAAAAAGACAAGTACACTCTGAAAATACTGAAGTGGCTACATTAATAAAAGTGCGCTTCAGAAAAAAAGGATTATTACCAGAGATAAAAACAGACATTACATATTGGAGAAGGGATTGGGTCATTAAGAAGACGCAATCCTAACTGCATATGCCCTCATTATGGGGTTTTAAAACACCTCAAGTAAAAACGGACAGAATTGAAAGGAGAAATACTGATAGATAAATCCAAAGTTAGAGTTGGTGATTTTAACACTCCTCTTTCAGTAAATAATAAGGCAAATTAAAAAAGTAATGAGGCAAATTAAAAAAGTAACCCCTGGTGGCACGAGAGGTTAAGACGCAACACTGTGAAGCTATCCGCGGCCACTGCAGCACGAGTTCGAGTTCAATCTCCGGCCAGGGAGCAACCCAGATGGTGCAGCAAACCTCTCCTGCCTGGCCTGCTGCTCCCCTCAGCAGTGTATTTCAGTCAATCCGCCTGTTCTGTTCCCCACTCTGTCTCTGGTACATCCTCTCACCCTCCCGCACCTCTGGCCTGTACCCCAGTTCTTGCATGCATAAATAAATCTTAAGAAAAAGTAATGAGACTAGTAAGATTTGAATAGTACTACTGGCAATCTCATTATAATTGACATAATAATTGAAAAAAAATACTATTGACAAACTGTCCTGACAATTATACATCTGGAGATTTCAACACTCCTCTCTCAGCAACTGATAGAAAATTTAGAGAAAAGAAATCAGTAAAGATATATGATACAGTAAATACAGAAGAGATAATAAAGTGTTTCAAAAAAGACACAGCCCAAATTTGACCAAATAGATATTTACAGACCAAATTGATATAACACTCACTCAATAAAGCAGAATATACAGTGTTTTCGAGTGTACATTACCGAGACAGACATATTCATGGCCATAAAAAAATTTCAGGACATTTAGAAGGACATTAGCTAATATCATTTAGTTAATGGCATTAACTAAAAGGCAGTAATAAGAAGATACATGGTAACCCCCTCTTAACCTCCTCCTATAATATTTGGAAACTGAATCAGCCATGGTCAAATACCATGTTTCAACAGAGAAATTAGAGAACATTTTGAACTAATTGAAAAAGAAGACACATCACACCAAGTTTTTGAGATACAGCTACAGCAGCGCTTATAGAAAAATGAGTAACATCAAATATTTGTGTATGAAAAAAGAAAAATCTCAAACCAATGATCTAAGCTTCAGAAACTAAAAACTGAAGGGTAAATTGAACCAAAATAAGCAGAATAAATTAAATTAGAAAGAGAAGGAATTAATGAAATAGAAAATGACAAACAAGAAAATGAATAAAAACTAAAGCTAGTTTTTTAAAAATAGAACATTGATAAATCTCTAGCTCAGTCACTGGCTAACTTCTACTATACAGGGCCAGATAATAAATATTGACAATCTACTTAACTTGCAAATACTAAACTCTGCCATTTTAGCATTAAAGCAGGCATAGACAGTATGGCAGCAAATGAGTGAGCTGTGTTCCAATACATTTTATTTACAAAAACAGACAGCAGGGCAGACTTAGCATAATAGGTAAAGTGCGCCCATCTTTACTCCAGCTGGGCTGATGGGATGGGAGGGCAGGAAACCACGTTTCCAAAACCACAAACAAGAAGGCACCACTACAGATTGTACAGATTGACCAGCCAAAGTCATTCAGGGCAACACTTACTCCACCCCACCCTCACAGCGGGAGATGCAGAAAGAACTGCCTTCATGATGACAGACATTTTTTGAGGAACTAATTTATGCTAACAGGCAAAACAAAGATCCCTGCCCTCATGGGACTTTCTTTTAATCACAGAGATGGACAATCAATAACGCACATTATACATTCATAAAAAATCTTGTATGTTAGAAGTTGATAAGAACTGTGTAGCAGAAGGGAGGACTGAGGAGAAGGGTGGGAGGCCTGGGAGTTTGAAATCATGAGAGATCTAGGAAGATCTCACTGAGGAAGTAGCAGTTGAGCAAAGACCTGAAAGTGGGGATGAAAGAAGCTAGGGGGAGAAATGTCCCAGGCAGCAGGCACTGTCCAGGCCCAGGCCCTGAAGCACAGCAGTCCCTGGCCTGTCTATCAGCAAAGGCCAAAGCAGTAGTGTGAACAAGGGGAAGAGGTGGAGATACAAAAGCTATGCTGGAAGCCACAATACAGGGCCTGAAGGTCTGCTGGTGCAGAAGGGGGTTGGAAGACCAGCAGGAGAGGGGATGCCAATCCTGGAGGGGTGTACTATGAACAAAAGGAAAAAGATGAACAAAGAGATCCTTCAGCAGAGTCACTGAGACATTGGACCCTTGAATCCTGGAATCAGGGGGGCAGCTAGCAGCATTTTCCACTTTCCTCCGTGAACAAGGAGGTGCGTTCCGGGGGGGGGGGGTGAGGCCACCTACCTGCCCGTTCTCCACCTCGCGACAAGCCATCAGGATCACCTGGAGAAGAGGGGTAAGGAGAGAGGAGGTGATCTGGCTTAGGGGATGAGAGAAATAGGCCCAAGGAAGGGCTCAGAATGCTGGCCCCACCTAACCCTTCCCGGAAGCTGACCTTGACCCCAAATTCCCAGACCAGACGCCAGAAGTCCAGCAAGGTGTTGGGCAGGGGTCCCTGTGTGGCAATGTAGGCCTGGCTGCCATCTGTACCCTGGTGAAGGTTGAGTTTACTACCAAGATCACAGTCACCCCCCCTTCTTCCCCTCCCGGATCCCCAGCCTGACCCGTATGAAGTTGCCATTGATGTAGTCACTGTGTCCCTCCTCCCGGAGCAGGGAGAGGATCACCCGGGTCTGATCATCTGCCGGTGGGAAAGGAGAGAAGCATGGTTGGGGAGCATCAAAGTCCTAACAGCCTCCTGGATACAAGCCAGCAGCAGGGAGATTCCCCGGGAAGCCCAGCGAGGTGTCCCCGGGGCTGCTGTGGGGTGGTGGTGGGACAGAACCAAGCACGGCTCCGGGAGAGGGGCTGGAGGACAGTGGGGAGTGGCTGTGCTGACACCTGGGCGTGGGGTGGGGTCCCCTGCCCCAACTCACAAGGCACCACATCTTTATAGCGGTTCTTCTTCACATTTTCCGGCTGGCAGCCGGCGTTGGCGGGGTACACATTGTCAGCCTTCCAGGAGATCTGGCGGGCCCGGATGTCCTGAGGGAGGACAGAGGAGGGAGAGAAGAGGCGGTCAGAGCCCGGGGACCCCGTGGGATTCCCAGGGGTGCAGGGCCCTTGGCCTGGAGCCGTGCGTGCAGATGCCCAGGCTGCACCAGGCCGGATGACTGCAAGGACGCACCCCTGCGTCCATGTCTGCCTGGAAAGTTCCCACAGCTGCTTCCTAAGTTCCTCTATTTAAGGGCGCATCACCTGCAGCCAGCGGCGCCTAAGCGCGCCACCGGCACCCCTCGCCGGCTCGCACCGCCCGGGGGTGTCTGGGGTCCTCAGGACGAGCGCCCAGGAGCCGAGCGCCTCTCCGCCCGCTTCTGTGGCTTAACCTTCGGCCACTTGGGCTACTGAAGTTCGCCTTCCCCGGGGGGTCGGGGGGGCAGCTCCGTCGGGGCCATGGCCACCCCGTTCCCTGCAGGGCCTCCCGGTTCCTCTCCTGCAACCGCGCCCTGCCTGGACGGCGGCCGCGACCTAGGGGCGCCCGGGGCGGGACGGTTCCCCAGCGGCGCCCGCGCCCGCAGCGCGAGGGCGCGGCTCCCCGACTTCTGGACTCGCCTCCCGGCTCTAGCGGGCGGCGGAGCCGGGCCCGAGGGCGCCGCAGAGGGGCCGGAGGGGAGCGCGAGCTCGGGCAGGAGCCGCCCCGGGGCCGGGGCCGAGGGCCAGGCGGCGGAGCGCAGCGGGCAGCAGCCCCGCGGCCGGGCAGGGCGCGCCCCGCCGCCCCACGCCCCGCACTCACGCTGAACTCGCCGGCGAGACCCGCGCCCGCCCCGCCGCCCCGCGCCTCCAGCCGCTCCACGAAGCTCCGCGCCGCCTCCCAGCTCCGGCTCATGCTGCGGCCGCCGCGCGCCCCGAGTCCGCCCCGACGACCCGGCCCGCGGGGGACGCCTTGGCCGCCCCGCCCCGCCCCGCCGGCCAATGGGAGCCGCCGCGGCCTCGCCCCTCGCCCGCGCCCCTGCAGCCGGGGCCCCCGCCGCCGCTCCGACCCTGACCGCGGCCGGGGCCGCCTGGCGGGGCGCGGCCGGGCAGCGGGGCGCCCCTGGAGCCGGTTAGGGGCGCCGCGCCCGCGGCTGGAGCACGTCGGACCCGCTGGCCGGGAGGCGCCGGGGCCCGCCGCGCCGGGAGCTGGACCGCGACGGCCCGAGCGCGCGGAGGGGCCGCTCCCCACCGGCCTCGGGAACCCGCGGGGGTCCGCCCGGCGCCCGGAGTCGGGAGGGACCGGAGAGAGGACACCCGCGCCTCCGCGCCCTGCGCAGGGCCGGGGGGTGGACACCCCCGCGCCGGGCGTTTCCAGGGGCGCCTCCTTGTTGTGCTCTGGGAGAGCGGCTGGAACCGGGGCGCCAGGCGGGCCCCGGCCCCATTTTGAGGATCTCAACCCGCGGGAGCCCGCTGGGAACCCGAGACCGGGGGACGAGGTTTTCCCAGCGCTCCTGAAGAGCTTGTTTCTGTCCCCACGGCCCGTCTCCGGCACCTGCGCGCGGAAAGCCGGGGCGACTTCTGCCCCGCGCGGGGACGGGGAGCGGCTGAGCGAGCGGAGGGCTGGGCCACCCCCACCCGGGTGGGGGAGACTTGAGGGGTGTCCTCCGAGGGGCTTCTGTGCAGTCGTGTGAGGTCCTTGAAGTGCTGAAGGTGACTAATGGGTGAGGTGCACTTCGAAGTCAGAGTGCTCACTGGCTCCGTTTGTGGATCGATTCATTAACTGGCTAGCAGAGCTAATCCGGAAAGACCAACTTCCAGACGTGCTTTGAGCGCCTCCTTGTCCCGCTGCCCTGTCCAGGGAGAGTGAAGGCAGCCATAGGCAGTGCATGGAGGAACGCGTGACTGTCAATGAAACCTTCCTTGCAGATGCTGACATTTTGATTTCATGTAGTTTTCAATGTCTCACGAAACATTCTGTTACTATGCTGACAGAGTTTAAGCGGCTGAGAGGTCAGTGTCAGTGGGCATTAAATGGCGGGGGAGAGTTCATTTTTTGAAGCTAGTGGGGATCTCTGCGGACTCAGCGTTTGCTTCACCTTTGAAAGTTCAAAGATGGGCGGTTGTGATCACTGAGATTAGTTCTTGGGGGACAGTGGGAGTTCCTTGGAAGTTCATAGGGGACTGTGAGAATATGTTGATGGCAGTCACTGGAATGTCGGTGACGGCGGCAGACAGGACAGCCCATGAAGTTCTCTGCCATTAACAAACTTGGAGTCTAAATGAATTTGCAATGGGGGGAGGCTGGGGAGAGCCATCCAGAGCAGCTCTGCCTTTCACTTTCCCAGCTCAAGCTTTTATTGAAGATGTGAACGCAGAACAAGAAAATAGCACACAATTGTGTTTTTGCTTATACAGATGAATAAGTTACTGCTGAAATCAAGTTTTCCTGGTTAGTGGGGAACATGCGCACAAGCCAGCACGTCCTCAGAGGAGAGGAGTCAATTCTGGGACGAAGTTCTGTTTGCAGAGCTTCTGATGTCCTGGAACTCCGTATGCAGAGTAAACAGGTCTTCTCCAAAACTCCAGCCCCCTTTAGGGCAGCTGGCTCCCAACAGGTGACAGTGGAGTAACTGGGGGACTATGTTTTGAGTTTTAGTTTAAGCAATGGCAGGATCAAGAGTCAGGGGAGGTCACTGTGGGCTTCCATGGGGCCACAAGAGTAAATGTCAGAGGGTGGCTGAGACTTCATGGCCATGGGCTGATGGAGACTCAGGGAGGCAGGATGCATGTCTCAGTGATCTCTGAGAAAACATGGAGGTTTGTTGGTATAGTTACAGAGACTCAAGTTCCTGAGGACTCATGGATACTGGTGGTAGTCATTCAGGACTAGAACTTGAGTAAACAGACAGGAGTCACTATGTCCTTTGTGGCCCTTGGTGGATGTCACTGGAAGATTACTAGAAATTGGTATCCGGGAAGCAGAGGCAGTAATGAGGGTCAGTGGGCCATCCATATTGTCTGTGCTACCTGAGAGGCAGGGCAGCTGACCCAGCAACTGGAGTCCTGGAAAGCTGAGGCTCCTATTAGGGGATCTAGGATTATGATTCATCCATGCAAGCGTGTGTATATGTCTGTCCACCTGGATTGAGGGTCTATCCCCCCAGCAGGTTTGGGGGTTCTATCTTGTTCAGGGTCTTTGTTGTTACAGGTTGTTACTTACTGGCAGAAGCTAAGTCTGTCAAGCTGTAAGTCTGGCTGACTAGTTGACTGGATAGGTGGGGTATCTCTGGTGGGGTAACCTTTGTCCAGTTGTGGGCAGGAGGGTGGAAGGGCTATCTATCCTTGATAGGTTGTCTTGGGTCACCTCCCAATTGGCTGGAGATGTCCATGTGTCTTGCCACAGGTCTTTCTGGATGCCCGAGTACCTTCCTATCTGCACAGTAACCTGTGTTCACTTATCTTTTTGCCCCACTGGACTCTTTCCCTGGGACTCTGTCTACTACCTTTAGATAGATACACAGGTGTAGCTAGGCATCTATATATCCAGTTTGGTGATCTGTTTTTCTGCCTGACTAGGGATCTGTAAGTATTTGTGGCTGTCCCTGTAGTCCACTTATACTCTGGCTGGGTATCTGCTGCTTGCCCTCTTCTCCAACCAGGGCTGGCCTTTGGACACCATTCCTCTACATCTCCCTCAACATCCAAACTCTTCGGCTCGCCCTCTACTGAGCTCAGACTGGGTATGGGGCATGGGAAGACTAAGACCTCCTTTGACAGCCTGGTTCGCATCACTTCTCTCTTCTCCCAGAAGACTAAGCTGTGTTCTGGAATGGGACACCCTGCTGCTTATTCACCCTACTGGTAATAAACCCCCTGCTGGCTGGCACTGCCCTCCAAAGATCCTGAGAAGCCCAAGTCCCACAGGCTTGCCAGTTTGGAGTATTTGCTGAGCTGCCACTTCACAGAGCTGAGTGGACAGAGTGCTGCAAGGTGGCAGGGGATACACTTGCAGTGCTGTGAGGGACCCTGTCTGGGCCAGAGTCACAAAGGAAAATTATGACTTTACAGTGGAGAAAACCTGCAGACATCACTTTAACACCGGAAGCCTGTGGGGAGGTATTTTGAGACAATGATGTCCCCACTGTAGTTTTCTGCCTATCTTTTTGGTTAGTACAAAAAAAGAGAAGTGTGAAAACACTCCCTTATTCCACTCTTGAGAAGCTGTGGGCTGGGTGGGATGATCCACTGACCTAGCCCAAGTCCGGCATTTAGTAAACAGGAAAAACGCCACCCTCTCCAGTCACATGTGGCATCCAGTGTCCATTGGCGCACTCTAACTGCCTTTGGAGGGGTCTTTGTTACAATCTTCTCTCTTCAGGGTTCTACGACACTGTGTTCTGCACTGATGTCTCCTAAGGTTTCAGCCCCTCCTCTCCTTAAGTGCTGTGGACCTGCGGGTCCCTGCTCTTCCCCAGTCGCACAGAACGCCCAGTCTGAGCCACTTGTTTCTGTAACTTGACCAGCACCATCCATCTCAGGCTCCTGACATGGGCCTCCCAGGGAGCCCCTGTGTCTTCATGCCATCAGGGAGCGCCCAGAGCACTGGCCAAGGTCCTCCCTCCTCTCTCTCCATGTGCCTGCTTTGTCTCTTCACAGGTCTGTCCTAACCCAGCATGTCATCACATCCTTCCAGGTCAAGCTGTACGCATTCCATAGGGTTGTAATAACCATTCTAGGTACAACCAGGGAGCTGTGTACACACTAGGAATGTGACCAGAGAGGAGGCAGACAGCGGTGTGACAAACACGTTTTATTCTGGCCCCTCCCCACCTGGGTCCAGGCCCACATCCTGATGCAAGCAGGCTCACTCGGAACTTAGAAAGACCCTCTTGCGTGCAGTGTTGGTGTATGGGTGCCAGCGCCACTCCACGTCTGCTGTGGCCTCTTGTTCCAGCGTGCCCAGGCGGATCATGTATACTGGGGAGGAGGGGAGAAATGCTGTGACCTGCACAGCCAACATACTCCCACCCCCACATGTACTTTAATGCCTCAAAGCTCACATTTCAGTTCAAAGCGAGGCCCGACCTCAGTCAGCTCCACGTTGTGGTGGCTGGTCTTCTTATACACATGGTGCCTAGGGCAAGGGGTAGCAGGGAGCAGCTGCGGGTCAACAACAAACACTGGAGAGACACAAACATCAGGATACTATTCTAGGGCCCAGCCCATGGACCCACCGGAAGGAGATGTAGTCGTCCTGGTTTGCAAAGGTGATGACCCGGTGGCTGTCATCTTTGGGCACTGGGAACAGGTAACGGAGTATGTCGGACACCTGGGAGAGGGAAGGGAAATGGTGAACGCCCAGTCTATTGCCCCCTACCCCAGTCCTAGCTCTCACCCCAAGGTCCCAACTTACCCGCTTGCCCAGGCGGGAGGAGAAGCCATGCATGATGAGGTGAGGTTTTGCCTCTGACACGGTGCCCAGGTCGGGGATGTCATGACGCATAACGACATTGCACAGCGTGAAGTAAGCCGTGGGGCCAAAGGGCAGGTGGCTGACAATGAGTCCCACTGGCAGGGCCAGGCAGTCCGTCAAGAGACCCTGTCTGCTCTCAGACAGCCACCCGAGCAGACCCCTTGCTGCCCCCAGCAGCCTTACCAGGAGTGCCTCTGTGCTCATGGACAATCAGCAGGTCAGTGACGCCATTGGCCTTGCAAGCTCGTACCAGCGCCCCCACCTCATGCCGGCCACGGTTCATTCGCTGAGCGCCCGGGAACACCAGCTTCATCTCCTGCGCAGGAACAGTTCGGACGGGGCTGGGGCCAGTGGTCTCAAGCCTCTCCCACTCACCACCAGCCCCCCACGTCCCAATACTCGCACCTTTGCAAACATTTTGAGGCGGGAGCTGGGGTCTCGGGAAGTGGTGATCATGACCTTGGGGTCCTCCACCCCAGCCCACCGATACTCGTCATCAACGTGGCTGGTGACACCTGGGGGCGTGAGGGGCAAGAACGTGACATTGTCTTGGGAAGTGAAATGCTAAACTGGGGCTGGCCGAATCTATCTAGAATGGTACTGACAGTAGCTTCAAGGATGGCAATGCTCCATGCCCACACGGGACCGCAGGGTGGCCCCAGTCACACTGGCTCTAAGCACAAATGTGATAAAGAAAGTGAAATTGTAAGTTGGAATTACTTTTAGTTCATTTAAATTATACATTAAGCATACGGAGCTAGGTGCTACTATGACACCGTGAGAGTGGAGGTCTAAATCCTTAGTAAGGCCCAAGGTGACAAACTCATTTCCTTCAGAAAAAACACTGAGAACATTTGAGTCCTCTCAGGTTTGCTGAATGATGCAATAAATGAAACATGTGGGTGCTGGGGTACAGCAGTGATCAGAATGGCCGTGGTCCTGCCCTGGCAGAATGCACATTCTATGAAGGGGGCCAGTTAACAAAGCAAAGCAGAGAGTAAGTGGGTATGTATGGGACCAGGAGCACTCAGGGTGCTCCCCTGCAGTGCCATCTGTGTGGAGCCACAAGGCACTTGGGGACAATTCCTAGAGCAGGAGCTGCAGGTTTTTTTCAGGCATTAAGAGAAAGAACGTGTAGGCCACTGGGCTGGAGTGCAGAGGGGCGCTGGCGCATTGTCAGGGAAGGTTACCTTCACTGCCGGCATCATCAAATTCCAGGGACCCCTGCAAGGCCAGAGCCTCCTGTCGTAACTCGGTGGGAATCAGGCGGTTCTCTGCAGGGAAGACAGCGGGCTGCGTGTGACACATGCAAGTTCATACGGCATTACTTACCAACCTGGACACACCTGCTGGAGAAGTAGCTTTCTTCATCTTTCTGAACAGAAAGATGCTTAAGTGACCTGTGCTTGTGTGTTTGAGGGTGGGGGAGATAGTTTATTCTTGTTTATATGCGGAACTGTTAATAGTGGTTATAGGAGACTTCATTTTCTATGGATCCCGAGTCTCATGGCTTGAGAACTTCCTAAAGTATTTCAACACAAATATGCCTTGCTCTTGTAGTTAAAAAGTTACTACAGACTACTTGTAGGGGCAGGAAGGCCACAGTGCAGGTTTTCTGATCCAGCAGACAGGTAAAGGAGAGTCCTGGAGCCCTCAGTGGGTTTCTCAGGCTTTTACTGAGTTTTACATGCATTGCAGGAACCAGGTACGGCATGCAAGGGTGCCTGGGGGCCAGGTGGCCATTAGGCCTCCAGGCCCCAGGCAAGTCTTTGGGCTTGTATGGCCTGCTTTTCTCCCCTTCTCTCTCTTGCTACTGCTTCTATTGGCAACTGTATCTCAATACTCCTCTCACCACCCACAGAAGTAAACAACAGTTTGCAACAATATAACAACTGCTGCTGGTACCCCATAAGGCAGGGCAATCCTAATGGTAAGAGGGCAGAAAAGCCTGAAAAACCATTTTCCCTACACTACTCTTTTTACATGAAGGTGGACCAGAAAACTGCAAACATTCTCACAACAAAACTGCTAATAATATATATTTTTTTTTTTTTGGTGGGACACTTGCCGGTGGCCAGGGATCGAACTGGCACTGTAGAGGCTGCGGGCAGCCTCGCAACCCAGCGCTCAACCGCTGCGCCACCAGGGGAGGCCCAAAACTGCTAATAATTATGCTCCAGACAGAGGTTTCCTCTGCACTAAAGTTGAACCTGGCAGAAGGGAGGGGCTGCAGCATGCTCACAGTGGAGTACAGAGCTAACTAAACATGAACATGCCTGTGGGCCCAGCACTTCTTCTCAACATGCCCTGGAGGGGCATTAAAATATTCATTTATTTATGCATACAAGAACTGGGGCACAGGCCAGAGGGGTGAGGGGTGAGAAGATTCACCAAAGACAGAATGGGGAGCAGAACAGGCAGACTGACCAAAGTACACTGCTGAGGGGAGCAGCGGGCAAGACAGGAGAGGTCTGCTGCGCCATGTGGGTCACACCTCCCTGGCCGGGGATCGAACTCATGTCTCAGTACCTGCGGTTAGCTTTGTAGTGCTGCGTCTTAACCCCTGGTGCCACCAGGAAGGCCCCTGGAGGAACTTTTATACATGGAAAATATTCCAGGCAGTATTTGACAACTCCACAGGCCCAATATTTAGTCATTTCCCAAATATAACCAAAGCAAAGACTGATAATTCCTCTGAAGTCTGGTAACACACCCTAATTGCAAAAGGAGTTTTACTCAGATCTCTGTTCAGTTGTACCTAGCTACAATTTATTTTTTTTTCACTTTTGCACTAGCTACAAAGCTAGGACAAAACCTATGGGGGGGGGGGTGTCAAAGTTCTTAGAATATAAAGAAATAGACAAAAGGAAAACCTTATCTGACCCTTACAGTTTTCCTCCTTATAACAAACGACACAAAAACATATGAGTGGTGGAGAAGGAGACTAGAAAAGAGATCTTAAGAGGCTTTAAACAACACTTAAAATAACTCTCCAGTTTGCTTAATTTTTTAAATTTGCAGTTTTCAAGTTTGGAGCACAAAAAGGTTTTAGAAGTTCAAAAGAACCCCCACAATAGCCACTGAAGTTTTTCATCATCATTGGTGCTATTGACCCAGCAAGATAAGAATTTACAAAACCAACAAGGGAAGTGATCTTTTTATATAAAACCAGCTGGAGTCTGAAAATAAAGTCTGAGAAGTGTACAAAAAAACCATGAACATTCACCAATGAGGGCAAGCCCTCCCACAGAAAAACTCCTGCTACGCTTACTCACTAACCAGGGAGTTCTTGCTGCAGGACAGCTCCAGCCACAGGCCAGTCTTTGGAAGTGACTAGCACTTATCCCAAACAAAGGATAACTTCAACTAAAAGGAAGGAGGTTGGTTCTTAGCAGTGTTCGTGGAAAGAAATGGTGGTTCGTGGAAGCAGTAGAGTACAAAAGGCTCAACTGGAGTGCCCGATGTTTCCAGGAGATACCAAATCTTCAAAAGTGAGATGGGGCATCCCTGCTGGGCACAAGAGCTTAAGCATTAGCACTATGAAGCTATCCGCAACTACTGCAGCACAAGTTAGATCCCCAGCCAGGGAGCTGACCCACGTGTCACAGCAGACCTCTCCTGTCTCACCCGCTGCTCCCCTCAGCAGTGTATTTCAGTCAATCCGCCTGTTCTGTACCCCACTCTGTCTCTGGTGAGTCCTCTCACTTCCCCCACCTCTGATCTGTACCCCAGTTCTTATATGCATAAATCAATAAATCTCTTTTTTTAAAAAAAAGATGACTTCAGGTCTCACTTCCAACATCATACATGTTAACCTCCAAATAGAAGCAATTAAGTATTTGGGATTAATGAACTGCAATTTAGGGTACACAGTTTCATATAAACTTAAAATGTGATCTGAGAAGGGGAAAAAGTTGGGGTTTTATGGAAAGAAAAAAGGAAGGTGAGGTGAGTGGTTAAAGAGTTTATATGTTAACAAGCTTAAGCTCTTCTTGGTTATAAATAACTGGATACTAAATTTGGCCGACATCCATTATGTGGCCAAGTAATGACAACAAACATTTTTCTGCCATGACAACTCTCATCCCATTTTATACAATGGATCCACTTTTTTTCCATTTTATTAATCTTTTCATTTTCTTATATATTTATACATATATATATTTAAATGGAATTACCCTCTGAGGAGAAGGAATGAGACCACACAGCAACAAATGCTGTGCAGTGTTTAGCTCAGCAGAAGCACTCCATAAGCATTTTTTATAAAAGATCTATTTTATTTATTTATGCATACAAGAACTGGGGTGCGGGGGTGAAAGGATTCACCAGATACAGAGTGGGGAGCAGAACAGGCATATCTACTGAAATACACTGCTGAGGGGAGCAGCGGGTGAGACAGGAGAGGTCTGCTGTGCCATTATGTGGGTCAGCTCCCTGGCCGGGGATTGAACTCATGCCACAGTGGCTGACAATAGCTTGATAGCCCTCAGACTTTAACCCTTGTGCCACCAGGGAGGTCCTGTTGTTCATTTTTGTGCACTATTTGATTTCTCTCCTCAGGTGTATTCCCTGTAAATACCCCACGCCCACAGAACCCGTGACCCATCAAGCCATCACCGTGGCCCCTTGTGTTAGTCCCCCCATTTTGATCCCTCTCCCTCCCCTGCTGTAAGCCTCAGATCTAAAGTTGCCTACAAGTTTTGTCATTTTCTTTTTGACCCTTTGTTTGGTTTCCCTATATTCCTCCTGGACATGATATCATCCAGAATTTTCTTTTCCTTCTGACTTATTTCACTGAGCTTATCCCTTCCAGCTCCATCCATGTTGCTGCAAATGGCATGAGTTTATCGTTTTTGAATGCTCAGTAGTATTCCATTGTGTATATATACCACATCTTCTTGATCCAGTCATCTGTTTTGGGGAATTTAGATTGTTTCCACAATGGCTCCACTTACATATATTTTTCACACCTATCAATCTTTCAAGTTAGTTATACTGGGACAATTTAACATTTCAATTAGAGAAGAGACAAAGAGCCAGGAGTTAGAGTCTGTCTAGTCTTCCTTCATGTACAGGTAAAGAAGAAAGGTCAATGTGTGGTCTTGTAAACAAAAGGTCATTTGGAAAATGGAAAAATGGATGAAATACTGCAAAGTTAAGAGTCCTTCACAATGGAAATAAAATTAAGTTCTATACGAATAACATTTAAAAATGAAAGGGAATCTAATAGTGCCAAAAGTACTTAAAATGGTAGCAGGAAGAAAACCTGCAGGGGAGGGAGGAATCTACAGGATCATGTAAAAAATTCAAATTTTGGAAGAGCTAGATGCACTGTACATAAACACGCAAGCTGTAAAATCTATACATTGCTACATAAATGACAAGTAATTCATACCATCATATGAACGGGTCATTGACAAGCCAACAGCCAGTTGCAACAGGTAAGGAAACCATCAGTAAATACTGGAAATGATGCTCTGCCACATCAACTCTAAGACTAAAAAGTGTTTTATATATACTATTTGGTCTCCACCTGCCCCTCCTCATAGTGTAACAGAGTGGTCCCCAGTAAAGGGGCGTATCCAGGTTCCTGGCCCCACCCAAGAAAGGGTGGAGCTGAGTAGAGAGAAGGAGAAGAAGCCAGAGAGACAGAAGACAGAAGGATGGAGAGCCTGGAAACCTGGAGCGGACATGGAGGAGAAAAGATATGAACAAGCAGCGCTTGCTTCTTGGTCCTGGACTGGGGTGAAACAGCCGTGGGTGGGAGACCCGTGGGGAGGTTAACGATGGCAGCTCTAATTTTGATTTTGCTCTTTTCCTTCTAGTTGTGCCGGGCCCCTTCTGCCCCTTCCCTATGGGTCCCCATCAGAAGGTGCCTTAGCCTTGGGGCAGCTTTCGGGCCTCAGTGGCCTGCTCTGGGACAACCCTGTTAGGGCATTTACCTACGAGGGGGCCGGTAACTTTGGGCGCTTGATTTGGAAACTATATTCTTTATCTTTTCAGTACTGCACACTAATTATTTTAAAGTTGCTTTCCGCTAAAGGTCTTACCTGCTAGAATGTTTTGTCTTGATGCAGCGGATGGCAGAACCTATTTAGAGGCGGCAGGTTTGGGGTTCTGGGGTGCCCCTCACCCTGTCCCGTGTAAAATGTCTTTGTAAGGCTGGCGGGGGTCCAGGTTGGAGTCGGGTGGGTGGAGGGGTCTTGAAGACCAGAGACTTACCTTCCAGGGCGCGCTTAACCTTCTCCTTCTTCTCCTGGGCCGTGCGCTGCGCGTCCTCCCGGGCCTTGCGGTACAGGTACTCCCGGCGGAGACGGGCCTCGCGGCGCAGCTGCAACAGCGGGTCGGTCAGCCCCTCTGGCGGCACCCCCGCTCCAGCCGAGGGGCATCCTCCCCGGGTCCCCGGCCCACATTCCCAGCCCTCCGCGAGCCCCCACCGCCCAAGGTGAGGACTCCAGGCACCCCTCCTACCATGCTGGGACCGGCCCACGTGCGCCGGAAGACCCTCCGGGTAGATCCTGCGCGTCGCTGCCCTCGCTGCCGCCCTCAACAATAAAGGCTGTTAGGGCTTCACTGCGCACGCGGCTGCCCGAAGCTAAGATGGCGGGCTGGGGGCGGGGCTTGAGGGGGATCGGCCCCTCGCGAGCGCGCTCGGTGCGGCCGCCGGGAGGCATCAAGATGGCGGGCGGCTCCGGACGGCGGCACAGAGAGGCGTCACCCCCTCGCCGCCGTGCAGGACGCCCCTTCTCAGTGACCGAGCCGCTGAAGTAGTGTGAACGCTGCACAGCAATTCCCTCGAGCGGCCTGGGTGCCTTTTACAAGTTTCCAGCCGCCCCGCAAGGCCGGTCCCGAGATAGCTGCATTCCCCCCCCCTCCGTCTCCACAGCGCCGCCCCCGTCTCCACAGCGCCGCCCGCCGCCGCCGGCCGAGGGGTCCGCGGGCGCTCCCGGAGACGCCGCCGCGGGCCGCGGCTGCCGCGCGGGGCTGAGCCTCCCGGCGCCGGCACGGCCTGCGGGGCCCTCGGCTGCGGGGCGCGGGGGCCATGGCGGCGGCCGGCGCGCGCGCGGAGCTGGACTCCCTGCTCCTGCGGCTGCTCGCCGACCTGGAGGAGCTGGAGGCCAAGCGGGCGGCGCTCAACTCGCGGGTGGAGGAGGTGGGAGCACGGGGTGGGGTGGTGGGGCCCGGGGGAGGAGGCGGGAGTGCGGGGCGCGCGGGCTCCAGCGTCTGCTCTCCCCAGGGCTGGCTGTCGCTCTCGCAGGCGCGCTACGCCATGGGCGCCAAGGCCGTGGGGCCCCTGCAGTTCGCCGCCCGCATGCAGCCCCGGGTCCGCGTGGCCGCCTGGTGAGGAGCCTTCCCGGGGGCGGGGGCCGGGCCGGGCCGGGCCGGGGCGCCAAAGGTTCCCTCTCTCCTCAGCGAGTCCCAGGATCAGCTCCAGAAGTTCCGGGTGGTGAAGGCCGGCGCCCCGGCCCCGGAGGAGGTGGGGCCCCGCGAGGCCAGTGAGTAGGGGCCGCGGAGTCGCGGCGGGTTCTCGCCCGGGCGCGGGAGGGGCGCGGCCCCCGACAGTCGCGGGATGACCTGACGCGCTGAGGGGAGGCCCTGCACCGCGGCTGTGGGTTTAGGTGAACAAACTATCCTCTCAGCGCCCCGCTGAGGAGGCCGGAGCCAGGCCCGGAGGGCCTCTCCGGCCGTCGGCGTATTGGGGCAAAGCGGGCAAGACAGGTCAGGAACCACCTGCCGGGGAGCCACCTGCCGGTCTCGGGACAGACACTCGCACTTGAATCCCGCGGGAACGCGTGGTGCTTTGTGGTAACTTGTTTCAGAAACAGAAAAGTTGGGGGATGGGGTTTTCCAACCGCTGGTATTTTCCCAGGACCGTGAGCTCGGATTAGGTCCCGCAAAGACACCGAGAATACGAGGGCCGGGCTCTGAGACCTCCACCTCAGTCTGTCTTTCTCCAGCTTTGCGCAGGCGTAAGGGTCCCCCCAAAACCCAGGAGCCCGAGTCGGCCCCAGTGCCTCAGGATCCCTTGAACTGGTTTGGAATCCTGGTTCCTCACAGTCTGCGGCAGGCCCAAGCCAGCTTCCAGGAGGGTGAGTGGACTCTCTCGTCAACCATTGTAGCTCTGGCCCAAAATCAGGCCTTTTGCCTGCGAGGAGCGCTTGATCATTAACGCTGAGGTTAGTTTGCCAAGTGCTCTGCAGGTTTTCTCCATTGCAGGCTTTTGTTGCGTACCTCCTCTATTTTAAAAAGATATTTGTTGACTTTGCTGTGGGCTAGGCTCATGCTCTGAGCTAGAGATAGAGCAGGAAATAAAAGAAGTACCCCGAGTTGGGGTGTATTCTATTGAGGGAAGAAAAGGACATGCAAATGAAAGAAAATGCCTAAATACAATACCAGATAGGGCATGGTGGATGGAGTTGGGACCAGGAGTAGGCTGACACAGTTATCTTATGAGAGATGGCCTCAAAGGCTTCCTGAACTGATGAAGGAATGAGCATCGTGGGCGGTTATATACAACAGTGTCACAGCAGCCAGGGCAAAAGCCAGAAAGCCCTGAACTGATATCTTGTCTGACACAGCAGAAATGAGGCCAGTGGGCTGGAGCAGAGTTGGTACAGTGGGGAGAGGCCAGAGAGGGCTGGCCCAGGTGATTTGAGGGCTGTGTCCCGGTTGAGGACTTCAGAAGTGATGGGGTACCTGTGAGCAGAGGGAAGTGCAGGGCGTCAGGAATCCTTGGGTGCAGGGTGGGGACAAATCAGAGCAAAGTAGGTGTCAGGGAGCAGCCAGACATGAAATGCAGGGGAGGAGGGCGTAACTGGTAGGAAATCATGTTTTGAGAATAGAAGCTCCAACATTTGTTGACAGATCAATCCAGAAGTTGGGGAAGGAGAGGCGTAAGGGAGGATCCCTCAGTCCCCAGAGGTGCACCAGGGAGGATGGAGCTGCTCTCACTTGGTGGGAGGATGCCAAAGCCTAGCTCAGGGGAAGTCAGGAGTTGGATTTGGGCCAGTTCCTCTTGCTGTGAAGTGGAAATTCTGAGCAGGTGGTTGAGTACATGCTTGCGGAATTTGGAAGAGGCCTGGCTAGAGAGAGCAATTTGGGAACTCACTGCATATCACCAGTATTTTAATTCTCAAGTTGCTGACATGGCATAAGAGCTGAGATGAGATAAGATCAGCAAGAGATTGTGAGTCTGGACGGGAGGTGCAGGGAAAGGAGGGGAGATTCCATGCAAGAAGACTGAGAAGCATCATGAAGTCAGAGCAATGCCCAGAGGAGAAGGTAGCCTAGAAACCAGGAGAAAAAGTTTCCTGGAGGGAGGTGATCAGATGTCCAGCCAACTCTGCTTCTAGACAGGTAGGGTGAAGATAGAACTGGCCAGTGGACTGGACAAGGGTCTAGAGAACTTCACTGCAGCCTTCCCAGCAGAAAGCCATGAGAAGTGGATCCTGGATGTGGACCACTTTTAGGCAGAGAAAACAAGTGAAAGGAGAAAGGGTGGGCACTGAGGAACTTTGGTAATAGAGGAGAAACAGAAGGAAATGAGGCAGTTTTATAATCTGTGAATTTTCAGTTCCTGCTGGGTGATCTGCTGGGGCCAAGGAGATCTCTGGGGAGTTGACAGCTGAAAGAGGCCGAAGGTATACAGTGAGATTCTGGAATAGCCAATGCAAGACTGTACCTGCAATGTTTAGAGAATTGTCTGGACCTGGATGTGATGTCCTGAGACACATGTCACACACAGGTGCCATAGCGATAATCTCTTCTCTTCCTCTAGGCCTGCAGCTGGCTGCAGATATAGCCAGCCTTCAGATCCGCATCAACTGGGGCCAAAGCCAGCTTCGTGGGCTCAAGCAGAAACTAAAGCAGCTCGAGTCTGAGGCTGCCTGACCTGTGATCTCAGAGACAGGGCAGTGACACAGATGTTCTTCCTGTGCTGCCTCATCTCAGGCCTCTTTCTTCAGCTGCCCAGACCCCAGCCGATACCCCCTTCTTAAATTTTCTCTGGTTTGCGTGTTTCAAACTTGGTAGATGTGAAAGCCTCAAGAGGCAAAAACTTAATGATGTTGAAAGTCCCTACTGTTAATTACTAAAAGCAAAGTCTCAGTGCTAGTTCAATATGCTAGGTAGTTTATGAGGTAATCAAAATGAGGCTTCAAATGCTAGAGCAATCTGACAGGTTTTATTCTGTGCGAGCTGGTCCATGAAACCTAAGTTTGAATTTACTTTATATAAGTAGGAACACTGAGTTCATACTCATTGTATTTAGAATGTGATTATTTTTGTCAGGACGGGCTTCTAGTTCAGATTGTCCTGACCTAGAGATGCACTGATGCTGCAGGAAGGCCTCGCCGCATTTAACCTCTTCGTTTCAAAATAACACCTTGATTTTTTTCTAAGTGGGAGACTGGTAAACACTGGATGGTTTCACTTACATGTGGAATCTACAGAAACTGAACAAAGGATCGGACAAAGACAGATCCTAAGACTGACCCTGGAAGCAGACTGTCGATCTGACATGCTCTGGAGAGGAGGGAGGTGGGGAGAACGGAGAGGAGTGGGGAGGAGAGTGCAGTGGGGTGTGGGGAGGACTGGGGGCACTTTGGTGGTGGGGAACTGTGGGGACTGCTCCTGAGGGGAGAAATCCTATAGTGAAAAAATAAACAAGGATTTTTAAAAACAAAACGAACAAAAACCCTAAATAATGCTCTATTGGTGCAAAAGCTGGGAACCCATTCTTAACTCTCTGGTTCCTTGGTCAATGGCAGGGTGAAAAGACTAGCTTTATTTGCAGCAGCAGATTTCTGCATATAGGATGGAACCAGTGAAAATGACTTTGCTTTTACCTGCTGGACCAGGGGCAGAGCTCCCAGAAAATTTTACAATTTGTTCTTGCTACTGTGAAGCTAATTCCAGGCTTGTGCTCTAGGACACTCACGGGACTTGCTAGGTTAGTTGATATTAACAAACAACTGGAACAGCCTTATGGATCAATCAGTTGTGCTTAGGTGCCAACTGGAGTACAAGTCTCTATGATAGTTAAACTAATAAAGATACTTAAGGTGAGGATCAGAACCCTGGAGAAAAGACTGGTGGAAAGGGGTTCCAGCCAGTTGCTTCTTAAACCCTTGCCTGAGAGGGCTTGGTTTTATAAAATCTTGAGATAGGTGGAGGTTTCTCAAAAGGGGGAAAAAAGGAATTGCAATTGAGACTTGAACAAGGCAGAAACAAACCCCTCAACCCCCGTGGGCACATGTTAATTTCAGATCTCTGGTAGGCAGTTTGCAGGTAAGAAGAAATGCCTGTTGGTTGGCATTTGTGAGCTGGTCTTGGGAGCAGGTGGGGGGCTGGGGATAGAGGCTGATGCATGACAGCAGGACTTAGGAGGGCTCTTGCAGCAGGTGTCTTGACCTGCTGCATCTACCTCTACCTCTTTCTTTGCCCAAAACTTGTTATATTTGTTTTCTTTCGCAAAAGGAAGGACAAGAAATAGGAGACTCCGTTTCACTGGAACCCTCAACACTGATGTTAGTACAGGAAGATGCTATACACATTACAAGATCAGGACAGCATGGCTTCCTGTAAATAAAACACAAATACTTGAGTAGGTGGGCAGCCGTTGGCAGGTTTTTTAAGTCAGAAAGTAAAAAGATGTAACCTAGATTTTCAAGAGAAAATCTCTAGGAAGACATCTTCCAGGTTTTTAAGAACCTGCATTTTTGTTACTAGGAATGAGACCGAGCCTCTTAATTTGTTGAAGAGGCAGTTGTTTCCTAGGTAGGAACTCTGTATCCTCACTTCACTTTTCTACTGGGTTGATATTTTTTAGTAATTTCTAGGAGCTAATCTTTATATTTGGGTGAAATTAGTCCTCTGTTTATAATATGAAATGTATTTCCCCATTCACTTTGTCTTTGAACTTTACTTATGGTGGTTTTTTTTTTATAAACATTACATATGAAATTTATCTCTCATGGATTATTTTTAGTAAATTTTCCTAATAGAGTTAATTTTATCAATCAGCTATTTTATGATTTTTGAATTGTACTTGATGCAGTGATAAGGGAATTCTGTATTTTCCTCAACTTTTGTGCTTTCAGTTGAGTATGGGGTCCGTTTGTTATAGGCCCTGACAAAAAAGAGTGAGTCCTTTTCCCTTTAGGGAAAGAGTTAACCAGAGAGTTCCAGGGGTAGCTGAGCAAGTCAAGGCTGTGTTAGAGAAACACTTGCATGCAGGAGCCAGTGTGGGAAAGGAGAATTAACCTGACTGTGAAGGGAGTTAGAAGATGTTTAAAGGCGGAGCAGAGGAGAACAGCATACTAGCTTGTGTGTCGAGGGTTACAGCCTTGTGAATGCAGACAGGTTACGTTTCAACTATGCGTGTGGGCTTGTAGCTCTGTCCCTCCAGGAGATTGTGAGATAATCATTCAGGTTCTAATACTTTTTGTCTGTCTTGGTAGCTCATGGTCAGCATGGTAGGCCAAATTGTTTGGACAGGATTCATTAATTCAGGATGTTGTCCACCTGTTCCAAAGGTAACTCCTCCTACTGGCTTGCAATTTCTTCTCCCTCAGCTGTTTCTAGTTCTGAATCCAACTTCATCTTTCATATTGCCAGAGGCTCAGGGGAAATTTCCTCACCCCATGTGGATTCTGAGACTGGACAAATTCACATTAGACAGATTAGTAGGAGAAGAGGCCAAAATTTAATAATATATATGTGGAAAATTCACATGGTGGTAAATTCTAAAGGACAATGGAGTGAGGTGGGTACTCTGTGTTTAGGGGCCTGGGGCGTCAAGAAGAACGAAGGTTAGAATTCACATGACAGACAAGGAGGGAGTTACCCCATCCTTCTCTGAGAATAAAGAAGAGATTGTGAGAGAGAACTTGTTCACTGATAAACCTAGAACACTCAGTTAAACACCCCAAACTACATTCTTCAAGATTATGAGAGGTGGGGGTGGGGGGCTCTGTGATTACTTCTTTGATTAGGAAACGCGCAAAGCATGCGGGCAAAGAGAAAAAGCTCTTCGGCTTCCAGAGCCCTTGCTGTTCTCAACTCGAAACATTCTTCATTCCTTAAGTGATGGCCATACAGCTCCCGAGGCTCCCACAGGCCCTCAGCTGACCTCTCGCTTCCATATTCAGTTAACTAACAGGAAGCCCACTCCGGGCATACTGAGAAAAACCTTCCTGACCGTGTTGAAGAGACCAGCCTCACCACGTCCTGGGTCTGCATACTGTATTGAATCCTCAACCTTGCCCTTGACTGGAGATGCAGCCTTTTTCTGTCTTTCATTCCCAGCACATTGCCCTATCATATTTGGAACTTCGATTTTAATTTATGGATCTTATTGTCAGTATATGGACAGCACACTGTTTCAGTTCTTGAGGTTTTAACATACACTTTGGAGATAAGATAGATTCGTCAATCTTTTTTGTTTCTGTCAGCCATGATGTTGAGCTTGATTTGCCCATTAAAAGACTAATGGCAGCACCGGTGGGAACTATGACTGGAGTAAAAATGGATGTTCCTCCCCCAGTACAAAGGTTGAATTTAATAAAATCCCCTAAGTGCCAGCCGTGAGATTTTGAGGTCAAAATAAGGAAATAATCACATTCCCTCTTAACTTGCCAGAGAGAAGATGCTCCTGTAGAACCGCAGTCTGGCTTGGGCCCTTTGTGTTGATTGTAGTGGTCAGTTAATGAAGATCAAGGTCCAGCAGTGGTCTTCCTGCATTTACCACTTGAGTTGGAGCTTTGGATGTAGCACTCGGTCTGCTCTCAGGAGAGCGATAGAAGACGCTCAACAGTCTGCGCTTGCTCTAGTTCCTTGGGAGAACTACAGTTGTCCCCTACCTGGAACCCCTGCTTCAGAGAGGCCAGACTATTGCAACTTCGACTCAGTTAGGAGAAACGAGTTTAAAGCCAGAGCCCCCTCAGTGGCAGTTGGGGTGAGTTTCTACAAAGGCAGAGCAAGCCCTGGGGTGTGCAGTTCAGGTATAGATAGCCAAGCGGATGGACGTGATGTGTACAAAGAAATGCTAGCTGAGAGTTCCCACATGGTCTTCAGTTAGGAGTCCCGGTTCGCACCTAGGTCTTGCAGTTAGGATTCCTAACTTTCAGCTGTTGTTATGAGAACAGCTGTTCCTTTTGTTAAAATTTTCCTGTTTGCTAGTAGGCCAGCTTAGGTGTTTCATCCAGTTTCCCAACACTTGCTCTGTTTATACCTGGAGTTGGAGACCTCTGGCCCCCCAGTACTATGGTTTAATAGAAGTATCCATTTTCATCACATCATTAGCTGTTTTTCTCTATCAGTAACTTAGTGATGATAATAGTAAAATTTACATTATACATGTCAGTCATGAATACTCAAATATGAAATATTGTTTTAGATACTCAATATTGTCAAATTCAGTTGTGGAGGGCACCCCTGCCTGGCTCCTTGGGCACCCCACCTGGTAGATCAGACCTTCCCATTTGGGTGGTAGGGGAGGGGGTGGGTGGGAAAATGAAGAGGCAGGGTCAGGGTAGATGCAACCTGTGCTCCAGGGACTTCCCAGCAGGTGGACTGTGGCCATGGAGCCCAGAGTACAGCACGCAGGAAGGGGCCATTCTCTGGCCTTGTTCCTGCTTTGTCGGCCTTGTGACACAAATTTATGACACATATTTAACCTCTTTTCAGTGCAGGCTGTCTAATACCACGTGACTGCTTATTCATTTGCCTCCAAAAATAAATTCAGGAACCCAGGTATATTCGTTTTTTTGAAGTCGTCGTCATTAACATGTGGCTTTTGTTCTGACTATGGTGCTTGGGCTTATTCCACTCAGTTGTAGAGAAGAAAATGGTGTGTCTTGGGCGACATTCACATTTGTGCATGACAGAAAATATAACTTCCGCTCACATGTAATTGCACAGGACTGACATGGTTATGGGCAGGCGCCAAGAGGTAGGGCAGGAGCTCACTGAGACTAGTGGGAAGGAGACAAGCTTGGCAAGTAAGACCCTTCTGATTTCTGTCATGTACACGCTGATTTTCGAACAAATGATTTTCTGGTTTGCAGGCATTTCGTTCAATAAAGTGACTCAAAACAGGACTACAAATTAATTATTAAAATGAACTTGTGGAAAGAGCAAGAATGTCCCCTTTTGAAAGGGGAATTCATGTTGATTTTGAAGAGCAGAAATTAAAATTGGAAAATATCCAAGACTATAGTCCACTGGAAAAAAGATAGGATGAATATATTTAGTCACGTTTAGATAAAAATTCATCTTAGTTCCATCCCTCAGTCACAGTGATTTACTAGATGGACTTACAGGGCCTCCACCGCACCTCGGCGCACCAGCTGTGGGCAGCCCCCAGACCAGCCTGGTGAGTGGTAGTTTCCTGGCCTGCCCCGGAGTGAGCTCGCCCTGGGGCTCTGGCAGTGAGGCTTGCCCCGGCCTAGTGCAAGCCACAGGACAGAGGCTGGCCATGTACTAGGCTACATGGTGGCCTCTCAGAGGTGACATGTGTTCCAGCCACTTGGACTCTTGTCCAAGTTCTGCTGAGGCGGCCGCTTGCACTGTCA